AGAGAGAGAGAGAGAGAGAGAGAGAGAGAGAGAGAGAGAGAAATATCTTAAAATATATATTGAAACTTAGAAAAACACTGCTTAACTATTTCTGCTTAAATGCAACAATTGAGTTTATTCGAATTTAGTTCGTCGTACTGAAATTATATCAGACCGTCTATAAACCGATTTACAGAATACTTAGCGGAGATTCCGACAGATCTGATAGTAATAGTTTTACTCTCTATGTGCACAACAAAAGTTTCTTTGTATTGTGTCTATGAAACACGTCGAAAACAAACAATTTTTTCTAAAAGAAAACGATGAAATGTGAAAATAAATATTCATGACTTTCAACATTACTCGTTAAACAATATACGTTTAAAACTGAAGAGAATAACATTTTCTTTTAAGTATTTTCTCATGCATTTTACAATCTCGCACACACGTTTTCCATTGAATATGTATGTTGTACATACATAGTGCAATTCGCTTTTCATATTCTCCTCTGTCAATGAACAAAGTATTGAACTCGTTTCTGTTATTTTAATTTCGGTCGCGATAAAACGGGCACGTTCATCCGCCGCGAGATAAACGAAACATGTATTATTTTGCTGCGCTAAAGATAGCTCACGTCGATTCTCTGACTGTTTTGCAGCGCACAATTACGTTTTTAGTTCGTTCGTGGATCCACAGACATCTCTCTATAATACATTTTTAATCTACAATACACCTATATTACAGATACCTATGAGATTATCCTTGAAAAATCATTAATGTGCGCATCGCGTAATAGCAAAAAATTCTTTTGGAGTTTTTTCTAGGCCGCGCCGATTGTGTTAAAAACACGAATGGTATTTTTTTTGAATTGGCAATAACGTGTGCTATTTATTGTTTTATCATGCGCATTGTATCTTTAAGACTAGAAAATATATGTTTCTCATGTTTGAACATGTGCCTTTAAACATGTCAAAATTTCTCTCACTAGATGGCTACGAGACAAACTACTTTCTCGTATTCGAATTTTATTCCAACTTCTATATAAGGAGCTGAACGAGAACGAAAAATTAAGATCATACTTCACAGGATCAGTTCTGTAGGAGTGTGTCTCATACCTCATCCCTAACATGGGTGTTGATACAACCACGATGATGAGGAGAATCCCACTTTCCTGAGCGTGAGAACGACAGTAATTCCCAACTGTTTGGAGAATTCTGTTATCGATGACCGTTCACTCTTTGCACTCAGTGCAAAGGGGATGGAAGGTAGGGCTTTCTGAGTGGTTGGTTCTCTTTTAAATAATAACAAAATTTTCCGAATTTATCAAAAAATCCTTGAAAGTTATTTTTTTTACCAAAAGATTTGCTTTGTTTGTTGTAACTCTCTAGTTTGCAGTACGGATTTGTATTTCTTTTTTAATATATCTAAATCTCGTAGATTTATATATAATGGAATTGTTTTGTGTTGCATTTTTACTTGTTGACTAATACGAAAATATACTTTCCTAGAAAAGTAAGTTTTTCTAGAAATGTAATTTTCTAGAAAAACTATCTACAACGGATTTCTGAATTGTAGACTTATCTACGACGGATTGACTTAAATCGATTTTTGTGTTCTTTCAAACGTTAGAGAAATACCGAAGCAGAGGGATATACGTACATGCAAGATCTCATTTCTCGATCGGCCCAGTGGTCTCACGGCCTTAATGCAGGGGCTGCGAGCATGGAGAATTCCCGTGTTCGAATTTGCTCGACACTTTAAAATTTTTTCCGAGTCGATCCCTTTTAATTGAGTTGATCGATTGAAAGGCAAACTAAATTGAATCTTCAATAATTAATTCGAGTCTCGAATTAATTCTCCTCCTAAAAACGGTCTTAGTTACTTGAGCACGAGTTCCAACACAGTTGAAGGTACCTATTGTGAAAGCCGACCGTAGTAGTGGCACTGCGCATACTCAGACTGGCGTCTAGACTACATGTACATTATTACGTACGTATGACTTGTTTATTTGTGTGTAAATATATAAAAATATAAATATTATATAATATATAAAAATATATAAAAATATAAATATTATAACAAATATACATATATTGTATATTATAACAAATATACATATATAACAAATAATCGATAAAACTATATTTGTTTTATTTTATTTTATTTTTTTATTTTATTTTTTTTAGTTAAAAAATGTTGATTCAGTGCGATTTCATATTACGACTTTAATTCACAATTTTACGTGTGTGTACCTGTATAGATAATTTTTATTGCTAAGGAAAACACATTAACAGAATCATTATCGTTAATACTTTTTTTAGTTTCTTAAATAATATTTACTTCTCTCTCTCTCTCTCACTTCACTTTAAGCGTAAGTAACGTAATTACGTTTTTTTTGAAAATTGCTATTGAATTGAAGTTAAATGTCCATTAGTTAGAAAAAAGCTAATTTTGATTTTATTAGAGAGTTTTATATCGCGCGTTTGTGTTATGTTCAATTTAGCCGCGAGGAGTCAAGACTTAAGAATCCATTATGTTTTAACAAGATTGCTCGGTTGTCCGATATTGTTCCTAGCAATTTGTCTTAAATATACGCCTTTCTCAAAGTATTTGACATAATGAAATAGTATATAACACGTTAAGCTAAAAGTGTTCCGAATCAGGACTTAAAACATTATGCGATGAGTTTGATATCCGATAAAGTAACAGTCATCGCGTGACTTTTGCTTACATATAAGATTATTACGATTGGAATACGACGTGAAAATATGTGACACTGTGTGTCCTAGGATTCGCGTAACAATGACGTCTTGAAGCCTTGAAATGTGTTTTTATTTGTTCGCACTTTTATGACTTCAGCAACATTAGATGTATGCGTTATTTTCTGTCAATTATAAAAATAAGAAAATAAAGATAGATTGTTTTAAATAAATTTATCTCGAGTAAAAAAAGAAACCATATTCGATTCGTTTCCTGATATCAAAGTAAATCCACGTACACAACTTCTTCTGCACTTTATCAGAAAAGTTTCTTAGGTTAACGTATATTGTTTGTGAAGTTTGCAAAAAAAACAATTACTAATGTTGCAAAAATATTTGAATTTAGATATTTTCTTTAAAGGAGTTTACGTTCTTATATGTTTGACATAATATTATAGTATAGATAACTTTATATAAAAAGAACTACGTTTTAATAAAAAAACGTTTAATAAAAAAGAACTTCTAATATTGTACCATAAATATTTTTAGAGAGACAGCACATTTACTTGTGCACTATGTTTGCAAATAATTAATTAGAAACGTTTGCGCAAATTTGTTTTACTCTATAAGCAGTAATATATTGGCATTGATAAAAACTGATAGAAAGATATAGAGAATTTCTGCAGGAACAAGTTGAAAAAGAAGATTTTCATTGATAAAGAGTTCCCATCATCGGATAGTTGAGTGAAGCAATTTGATTTCTTTTTCCGGCGATTGTACGTGTTAATTGCTTCCTGCAACGAACTTCTATTGTTATTTTTCTTTTTTTTAGTTACGTCGCATACGCGATTGAAAATTTTGCGTGTCCTGTTTCTTTTATGCGAAATTCCATATATCTACATACTCTCCATTATGAAAACGGTATTTTTATTATACATTTCGACTTTCCAAGTCACATGTCCTACAAGTCCCATGAATCTTGCAAAAGTCGAATCTCAAGAATGCATCGGCATAAAATCGCAGTATAAAAGAATAAATCTGCAATTCTTTATTTTTCCAGTATAATCTCGACGGATCTAATTTTTTACAATTTCTTTATTGACTTTAATAATATCAAATATTATACGATATTACAAAACGAATAAGTAATTTTACATTTTTCTTGCGTTTTTTTAGATTTTAAATTATAAATATATACACACTATTTCATAATATAGCGTTTAGATCAGCTCATATTATTTAACTTAATTGCGATTTCATATAGATACGAGTCACGCAAACTCTGGTACAACTGGTACAACTATTGCCACGTGTCAGAAGTTCCTTTGCACTCGCAGTTATTAAAATCCGTGTAAGTGTCAAGATTTTAGCGTATGGCGATTCGTGTAAGAGGTTCAATATACCTTGCAGATGTTCGTCTTGATCTAACATAGCTTGCCATCCATAATACTATGTCAGGTAATGCAGTTAATTACGCTTTACTATGCTTAACTAGCTTCAGCTACCGCTGAAAACATCTCCGCATGTTACCTCTAATCAACTAATTTACGTGTATACATATTGAACATGTTTGTTTTACACGATATCTTTAGACCTTCAGGGAATCGTGCATCCGTTTATTTTCAAGTTCTAAAAGTAGAACGTGTAACGCGGCGCGTGTCTATAACAAAGAGTAACTTCAGTTTACGGCATTGATGATGCTCGTTCTCTATTTCATTACGACATGATTGTGAAAACAATTGCAGTCGGCGTAAACGAAGTAGCAGCGTTAATTTGTACGACGCAGTCTCCCGTAAAACAGTGACGCATAGTTAACGTATTTATCACTCAATATGAAATACGTATTTATCAATAATATGAAATAATTTATCATCATCATGATGTATATAGTATACATCATATATAGTATACATATATATTTACAATAGTTGTGCTGCAAAAAAATTTAAAGAATTTAAGGAATTTAATGTCACTGTGTACACGTATGTGTTACGTATGATATTATATCTTATATTTTATGCACATAAAGTTTTCTGTGTGTCGCGTCTACACAAAGCTTTGTGTAATCATTTCTGAATGCTTAAAATTTAATGTACATATTCTTCGTACGTTCATATTGTAATAACAAATTAAATATTCGGTGTCATCGGATGAAGCTTTTAAGCTTCTTATACATATTATATATGCTTCATATGTTTACATATTGCTCAACGAAAAGAGATACTTTAACTACTGCGAGCTGTTTGCTAAGAATTCCATAATAATATATTACGCGAGCAAACAGAATCGAGATTAATCTCAAAGGAATATTTAAATATTCCAATAATAAATTATTTTTTTAGTTTTTAGTGTGTTACATTGTCAAATAAAATTCTCATCAATTACTTCGAGCTATGCAAATTAAAAATTTATTAATACAATTGCAAATATTTTGTGTATAATATATATAACATACATTTTACAGGATGTTGAAAAAAGATGGTATCACAAATTTTAGGATACGTGTATATAATATACGTGAAAACAAACCAAAAAATATAATAATAAATAAGCAGTAACTTTCAAAAATCATTTACTTTTTTGAGTTATAAAACATTTAAAAAAATAAAAAATAAATTTAAAAAAATAAATTCAATTTACAGATGTTCAATGTGCTCTTTGTTCATTTCGAGTATGCATTGTATAACGTACATTTGCATGAGATCTCGCTCGTTCCACATAAGCAAGACTTTTATTTATGAAACATTTGAAGAGGTATACGCCACATCAGTTGACACAATAGATGAACTGACGCAAAAAATTGAAAACTGTTGTCAAGAAATACGAGATAAACCTCTGAAATCTTTGAACGTGTTTGATCTTCAATAAGAAAGCGTGCTGAATTGTGTGTTGTGAAACGAACGGAGGTCACATCAAGAGCATTTGCTGTAGATTAAATTTATTTTTTAGTTTTTACTGCAAAAAATGTTTTATAACTCACAAATAAATAATTTTTGGAGTAGTGCCTAAATCTTTGATTGTTTTTACGTGTACTAAATACTCGTAAACTTTGATATCACCTTATTTCAATCTTATTCTTGTATATGTTACATAAAGTATTGTTTTATCTTCTAAGAAATTGTTAGAACACAAATATTGTAAGATACGTGATAAAAAATTAAAACTTTAATACAATTAATTATAATACAATTAATTAATACAAAATTATAATTGTGCATTTGTAAAACGTATTCATTGAATATTTTTTTATCTCATCGGTATTGTGTCGTCATGATCTTACATTCTTTGAATTTATGTTAATATCATATTTTTCGGCGTAACCAACGTCAGTAATATCTGAAATGAATAATGACGGCTAGCAATATGGTTAATTAGTGAGTGTCACGCCTCGACTATCACATGCAGTGATGCACCGTTAGGCATGCAATTGCTAGTTTCGGCGGATAACTCAAATTGAAAAGGTAATAATGACAAAATGTACTATAAATGTATGATCTTTATTATATTTTCCGAATTACGTCATGCGAAAATATTGCGAGAAAATAATTACTAATAAAATAGAATTATACATACTGAATAGTATTTTAATTATAAACAAGTCTAGTCATATTATTAACTTTTTAGTAGACTCATGTGTAACATATATTATTGTATAGCAACGACTCATAAAGGTATATATTTTTCTTCCATGCTTTTTAGTTTTTACATGTACGAATAGAAGATCGACACGCAACAGACATTTTGGGCTTATCTCTTTTGCTTTTTTTTTTCTAGAGATTTGAAAACGTAGCATCCTTTTTACCTAGTTGTGTGATTTCCCCAGAGGGACATGCTATATTTTGCGAACAAACAACGGTTTCTCATAGCGATGTTGATAAAACACAAATAATTGAAATCTTATTTTTTCTAGTTAAATTAGCAAAATATAAAAGATAAAAGCAAAACACACAGATTTAAAGTAGAAGAACGAGTAAAAAAAAATATATATATATATATTTGTTTCAAGTTTTTTCTGTTCGCAAGAAGCGGTGTAATATTCCTTCAACAGAGATTACAAATTCTTTATATTTACATGTAACATAGCAGAATAAACCACATTTACTTAAAATGAATTAATGTTTCCCGGCGAGACAAGTTTCTCCGAGATAGAATATAAAAACAAAGAGAAAAAGCGGCTATGTCGCACGCGCAATAAATAAACAAAAATAAAAATTTGCCAGGGACAAAACCTTCTCAGCTAGGAGGTGCAAAAAACTACGTGAGTGGGAACGTACTGTAGTTAACAAGATGAAGTGCTTTTGCATTAGTTTTCGTCGCAAATAGCAAGGTGTTAGCTTTAGCCATATAATCCTATTGAAATTTCGAATAAGTACATTTACCTGCAAACACAGTCGCGTAACTAACCTAGCGTTGTGTATAATTGAATTACGACAGAAAAGCATCCACGCGCAATAGTTAACTATTTTGCAACGTACATTTCGAGTTTCGAAAACATTAAGTAGTCATCAATTTATATCGAGATGCAGATTTGGAGAAAACGAGATGGAATATGTGTCAAAAAATTTGCAAAGTAACGAACGTTTTAAATAGAGTATTTTTGATCGATGTATTTTTAATGAAATTGAGAACACGTGAAAACAACACGTTGCTATTTGACTTTTTTCTCTCCCTAGAGAGAAATATCGCGTTATCAGCGATTCAGTACCGGTATCATGATTCAGCACGTCTCCGTGTAGTAAAAGATTAAGCGAATTGTAGCAAACGAAGCCTGACTATAGTTAAATCCAACGTAATTGGATAACTTTAATTATGGTTTAGATATATATATATGCTATATACTAACTTTTTTTCTATCAAAATTTGCTACGATAAACACATTTATGAGAAGAGAGAAGCAAAAGAAAAAATATATCAAAGTTATTTATGATTAAAAAATCGGAAAATGCAAAACTGTTCAAATATGTACTTAGAATAATGCGAGAGAGCTTAAAAGTTCTTATTAACATTATATTACCAACGTTGTCGTTTGAGTATTCCGCTCACCGACTGCAAATCAGAAGTTGTGTTTGCTGACTCAATTCTCCTATTTATGTTTTAAACGATCGCAACTAATATTGAGCACGGTTTACCACGTATAATGTCTCGTTTCAACACTTCATAAGTTCTCCGTTCTATAATGCCATACAATTTTCCAGCGAAGTACCGCAGTCACGAATAGCGATTGTCATTAAGCGTTTCATTCACGCTCTCTCCTCATGTACGAACTTTATCGTAACTCAGTTGAATACTCGCCGACCTTAACTCGCGCTACAATACTCCGTGTCGGCTCTCAGGTTACCACTCGAACGTTCGAACGTGGTATACGCTTTTGTTGTGACTCATTGGTATGCATCTTGTCGCCCCTAAAGAGCAAGAAGAGTTCCTATCACGTTCGGCGGTGTTGTTTCAGCGCGATAAGGTTTTACAATTCAACCGTGTAATTACCATGCAGTGAAAATGTAAGTATTTTTCAAGATTTCGAGAGTGGGATTTAACATCATTAATTATCTGTCGAACGAGGAAACAGCGAAGAATATATCATTTAATCAAGTTGTTAAAGTGCGATGTGTAACGATTTAAATCGACCATGTGTTAATGATGTTGAATAATTGATTCTTAATTTCAGTTTTGTTCTCCATTAAACTGCCGCGCCTTTGCAAATAGTCATGTATATGTACATATACATATACATATATGTAAATCGTCGCGAATGCACCACGTTCAGCATATTGTAAGCAAAACTTTGATGGACTCTTGCAAGCTCCAACGAGCACTTTTGTTGTATGGGAAGTTTGGATCATGTAGGTAGACAAACTGATCTATTTTCGAGACATATATCGAAGATCGATGTTTTCTCGACGACAAGCAACGTTCAAACAAATTACTCATTGAAGAAACACTTTTTCAACATTCGATAAAAACTCCACGTACTGGATGTCAATTGAATTATTAAATAACAACATTCGTAACAAAATGCAACGTCAATTTACACAAGCACAGTGAGAAATATAATACAATTATAATCAAATATATTATTTGTTAGTTTTATCAATGTTGAGGATTTCTTGACGACACATAAATTCGCGCGTTCATTGATCTATGCTTATGTTACCGCGAATCGTGTGTAATCAAGTAAAGCAGCATTGGAATCAATTTGCAACAAAGCGCACCACGCGGCAATTCAAACCTTCATTTATCATGCTGATAGGACGACAGGATTACAGCCTTTGTAATAATACGTAGTTGAATCCTTTCCGCAAAATATCGCAATATCTGTGTCCTTATTGTATTGTGAATTGTTTTAAAATTTATTTAA